GTTTCTTGCTGCACCTCCAAACCTGCACACCAACTGCTTGTAGCTGCTTTTTACTCAAAATTTCAAGCTATGCATTTATTTCATAGTGTTTCTATGGGGGGTTTTTAAAAATTTCATGAAAAATATGTATTATAAAAAAACTACACATGCATTTAAAAATACTTTTCCACCAAAATAGTCATACTAACTTGTTACAACATGTATGAACAGGATCTAGTTTGAGGCACAAGAAGGATAAGACATCAGTTTGACCAGAGCCCCTATCAGATCAATATGAATTCTACTAAAATTGAAGCAAGAATAGCAAACTGATCATGAAGCTTGGGTGGAAGAATGGTGTAATCATTGATGTGCTTTATGAAAAGTTTATGGGGACAATGCCTTAAAGAAATCAGCAGTTTTACAAATAGAAAACTCATTTTAAGGAGGGATGAGATCATGTCAAAGATAAAGCCTGCAGCAGCAGACCATCCACATCAATTTGCAAGGAAAAAATTTATCTTGTTTGTGCCCTAATTGTAGAGGACCAGCAATTAATAGACAATACCATAGACATCTCAGTTGGTTCAGCCTATACAATTCTGACTGAAAAACTAAAGTTGAGCAAACTTCCCAATCAATGGGTGCCAAAACTGTTTTGCCCAGATCACCTGCAGACAAGAGCAGGGCATTCAATGGAAACAAGTGAGGTCAAGATCCTGAAGCACTTCTTTGAAGAGCTGTAACAGGAGATGAAAAATGGCTTCACGAATACAATCCTTAAGACAAAGCAAAATCAAAGCTATGGCTACCAAGAGGTGGAAGTAGTCCAATCAAAGCAAAAGCAGACCAGTCAAGATCAAAGGGCCTGGCAACAGTTTTTGGGATGCTCAAAGCATTTTGTTTGGTAACTTTCTGGAAAGCCAAACAATGATAACAATGGCTTATTATGAGAGTGTTTTGAGAAAGTTAGCAAAAGCTTAAGCAGAAAAACACCCAAGAGAGCTTTACCAGACAGCCCTTCTCCACCACAATATTCCTGCTCATTCCTCTCATCAAACATCAATACAACAAAGGACAATTTTGAAAGTGTTCGATGGGAAATCATTGAACATCCACCTCACAGTCCTGATCTGACTTTTGATTTCTTTTTGTTTCCTACTTTTTAAAAAATCTGGGCTGGGTGCGGTGTCTCATGCCTGTAATCCCAGCACTTTGGGAGGCTGAGGCAGGTGGATCACTTGAAGTCAGGAGTTCAAGACCAGCCTGGCCAACATTGTGAAACCCTGTATCTACTGAAAATACAAAAATTAGCTGGACCTGGTGGTGCATGCCTGTAATTCCAACTACTCAGGAGGCTGAGACAGGAGAACCAGTTGAACCCAGGAGGTGGAGGTTTCAGTGAGCCAAGATCACACCTCCGCACTCCAGCTTGGGCAACAGAGCAAGACTCTGCCTCAAAAATAAAGAAAGAATCTGCAAAGGGCACCCATTTTTCTTCAGTTCATAATGTATTGGGAGGATTGCTGGAAGGTCAAGATTGCAGCGAGCTATGATTGCACCACTGCCCTCCAACCTGGGTGACAGAGTGAGACCCTGTCACAAAAAAAAAAAAAGACAATATTGACATGGTTAAATTCCTAGGACCCTCATTCCCTTATCGATGAACTAAATGGCTGGTATCATCATTTACAAAAGTGTCTTGAACTAGATGGAGCTTATGTTGAGAAATCAAGTTTATATTTTAAATTATTATCTTTTAATTCAGTTTTTCCATGAACTTTTTGAAGTCCTCTCATGTATTAGGTCAGAGGTTCTCAGTCCTTTTAGTACATGAAGATGCTTCTTTCTTTACAGAAAGTTGGGATGACCAGTCGTAAAGAGCACAGACCCTTGAGCCAGACTTTTCCATTTACTATATGACCGCAGCACGTGTAGTAACATCTCTGCCCTTCAGTTTCTGCCCCTCAGTGCTAAATATGTTTAGCAATATTACTTTTCATAGTGAGTAAATCAGCATTCTAGATTACGCAGCAGTTGCTATGAGTGAATTCATTTAACTTGAGTCTCTGAAAGACTTGTCAACTCTGGGTGCCCAGGAGGAGTCAGGCTTAGCACCTCTAAAAAGACAGAGTAGAGGATGAGACCCTGAAGTGAAAGGACCACAGGCACTACTGCCTTATGAAAGTGAGGCAGCTCCAGACTGTCTTTTCTATCTGTAACATAGCGATAGTAACAGTACTTACCTCATAGGAGTGTTAGGAAAATTAAACAAGTTAATATTTTTTAAGTGCATACAACAGTGCCTAGCATGTTAAATAAATAAAATTTCACAAGAAAGTAGTGTCCTTTTTGAATCTACAGCTTGAGAAAATGTGTACTTAACACTCCAAATTACCATGAGTTCAGTAATACTATATAAAATAATTTATATTTATCACACCTGGATTTGTACAATTTGCAAGACAGTATATCTGTGCAATATGTTATTACTTATCAGTCTATAGAAACTATTTAATATGTATATGAATTTGCAATAACTCTGAGGAGGTCAGGTGTTCACAATACACATATATGCTCCATACACTGATCCTCAATGTCTGAAAAGTAGGACTATAATTGGTCATTTTTAACTGATTAGAATCCTAGAGTTTTTATGTTTACACTAACATAATGTTCTCTCTCCCCCTACCAAGTCATGGCCCAATATGACCCTGTGAGAGTTCAGTAAACAAAACTAACACATACCGCAAAAGTTTGGCGCCCCAGAAACTAAACGTAAGAAATGATTGACCAGGGTACTGGGAGGCATGTTTTGAATGTAAGTGTAATGAACAAAACTTCAATCTACTTTAACTCATTGCCTGAGAATTGCCTGCGTTAACAAGAAAGGGTTAGCCAACAGCAGAGGCAGGGGACGATCAGAAAACAAAAGGTGAGAAGGATCTCTTGCACTGTCTAGGGGAGAAGGTAACCCGACCTATGAACACAAGTAATCCATTCTCTTGAACGCAAATATCCCTATACTGTGGAAATACAAAGTCTCATGATTACATCATTAATTTTTAATCTATCCTTGTTTGTTCTGATCCAAGTTTAACAAGCAACATCCTGTGATAATATGGCTTCTCATGTGGGTTTGTCTAAGGGAAAAAATATGTTTAACACTATTACATCACGAGTAAATCAGCAATCTAGATTACGCAGCAGTTGCTATGAGTGAATTTATTTAACTTGAGTCTCTGAAAGAGATGTCAACTCTGGGCGCCCAGGAGGAGTCAGGCTTACCACCTCCAAAAAGACAGAGTAGAGGAGGAGACCCTGAAGTGAAAGGACCGCAGGTACTACTGCCTCATGAAAGGGAGGCAGCCCCAGACTGTCTTTTATAATAGCAATATGTAGTCCTCATTCTCAATAGGCTTGCAACTTTCTTTTTTTTCTGGTAGAGTGCGATCTTTACTACATTATTATCTCCAGGAAAAGTAGGCCAAGGTGTATTTTTTCCTTTGACACCAGTTCTGGTTTGGAATGTGTGCTACATCAATGACTTAAACTATTTTAATTAAATACCATTTATGTACTGTATTGATTCCTTCAGTTCAATAATTATCCTGAGTAATGAGCAAAACATTTTGTTGGAAGACGTATGGCTATAAAGATGGATTACAGAAATGTGGAAGCAACTCAACTGTCCATCGTCAGATGAATGGATAGACAAAAGGTGGCATATACATAACAATGGAATATTGTTCAGTCTTAAAAAGGAAAGAGATTCCAGAACAGGCTATGTCATGGATGAACCTGGAGGACATTATGCTAAGCGACATAAGCCACACACAAAAAGACAAATACTGAATGATTCTACTCATATGAGATACCTAGAGTAGCCAAACTTACAGAGACAGAAAGTAGAATGGTGGTTGCCAGGGCCTGGGGAAAGAAGGGATAGAGAGTTAGCATTTAGTGAGTACAGAGTTTGTTACAAGATGAAAGGTTTTGGAGATGGCTGGTTGCTCAACAGCAAGAATGTATTTAATGCCACCGAACTTTCCACTTAAAAATGGTTAAGGTGGTGAATATTATGTTGTGTATGTTTTACCACACTTTTTTTAAATGGGGGAAAATTGGATTATGGTTCTGTCCTAGGGTGCTTGCTACAGCCTGCAGGAGAGGCGGACAGGAGGGTTGGAACAGCAGTACGGAAATTGAGGCAAAAGAGAGGTTAACACTGTCTGAGGAGACCCCGGCCCATCTCATGAGGAAACTAACATAAGAGGTAGACCATTATGTAATTCCCTCAAAGGCTTAAAAACCACTTCACAAAAGTTTCTCATCGCTGCTTGAAAAACATTAGGCTCAAGGCGAGGCGCGATGACTTACGCCTATAATCCCAGCATTTTGGGAGGCCAAGGGGGGCGGATCACTTGAAGTCAGGAGTTCGAGACCAGCCTGGCCAACATGGCAAAACCCTATCTGTACTAAAAATAAAAAATTAGCTGGACATGTGGTGCGTGCCTGTAATCCCAACTGTTAGGCTGAGGCAGGAGAAGCACTTGAACCCGAGTGGCGGAGACTGTGGCGAGTCGAGATTGCAATGATGCATTCCAGTCTGGGCAACAGAGTGAATCCTGTCAAAAAAAAAAAAAAAGAAAGAAGGAAAGGGGGGAGAGAGAGAGAGAGAGAGAGAGAGAGAGAGAGAGAGAGAGAGAGAGAGGGAGGAGAGAGAAAAGAAAGGAAGAAGCAAGGAGGGAAGGAAGAAGGGAGGGAGGGAGGGAGGGAAGGAAGGAAGGAAAGGAAAGAAAAGAAAAAAAGCATTATGCCAGGAGAATCAGACTGTGTTCTCGACCCCTTGTTCTCGGCTCAGCTGTCGCTCCCAAGCTTTGGACCGAAAGACCTCGCTGGCCCAGCAGATGGCGCCGGTGTACGCAGTGCGCCTCCAGGTGCACAGGGGGCGCTCTCGCCCGGGCTTTCGCTCCTTGACTGGGTGACTCTTCCGCCTTCCGAGCCTGCCTCCCTGCCACGCCCCTGCGTCAGCGCGTATTGCGCGTGCTCTGGCGGGAGGACAGTGAGGAGTATGGCTGCGTCTTCGAGTGGTGAGAAGGAGAAGGAGCGGCTGGGAGGCGGCTTGGGAGTGGCAAGTGGTAACAGCACACGAGAGCGGCTGTTGTCTGCGCTTGAGGATTTGGAAGTCTTGTCTAGGTAATGCCTCAAGCCTGAGAGCCGGGTTGGAGCTGGGCTGGGGGACTGACCCCGGCCGGCCCTTCATTTGTGCTAGTTCTCTGCGCTCGGCGGGGAGGGCCAGCGCGGGAGTTTCGGGTGCACGATGGTCATGGATGTGGGGTCCGCAGCCCTCTGGCACTCTGGGCGGCGGTTTTTCCCAATAGAGGGAATTTTAGTAATGATAGTAATCTTGGAAATTAAGAAATCGCGCGGTCTGAGCCCCTTTCGTCCACGGCCGGCCACTTAACATTTATGGAACGCCCCTTGGTTGCCAACCACTGGGGAGACAGTAGTGAAGGGTAGGCTGGATGTCAGCTGTAAAGAAAGACAGATTGTAAACTGTCGCGGGCTGCGCTGCGCTGGAGCATGAGGGATGGACACTTTTCCTGGATGTTGGCAGGACAGGCACCCTGAAGAAAGGGCTGCTTGGGAAGCATGAGCTCGCAGACTCACTAGGCAGCAGGTAGATGGAACAGCATGTGCAAAAGCCTGGCTTGGTGGAGTTGCGAATTGTTTGGGATGGTTGTGTGGCAGAGGTAGGAGATGAAATTAGATGTCACTCTTCATATTCTGTTACTTTTTATAAGTATCGCAAGTTGAAGCCTTCCTTGACTCCCTCATGTTGGCTTGGATAGTAAATTATCTTGGTTCTGCCTCCTAAAATGTTGCTCAGATTTGCCGTCTCGTATCTACCCCGCTGTTAGTAACTGCTTCTTAAATTCAGTCTCCCAGTTTTAATTGCCTCATGCTTCTGCACTTTATCCTTTTATATTGGCCGAGACCAGTTTCAAAAGGCTTGTTATATCACTTTACTGCAGAAAAATGATATAAAACCTATCTCATTGGTAGGTTTGCGTTGTCCAATGAGGTAAAGTTCAAATTCCTTAGCCAGACTTACATCTTCAGTGCCAATCCCAGTCTACCCTCAATTTGGTGAATGATTCATTTATCCTTCAGAATCCAGCTCAAATGTCACCTTTTCTGTAGCCAACATTCTTTGACAGCTTTAGAATGAATCTTATCTATTGTATTTTAAAATATACCTGATCTACTTATAAACAGCGCTTCATCTTTACAACCAAGTTACCAGGTGAGCATGATATTTAATGATGGAAGAGAACCCTAAAACACATACACCAGAAATTAAACGGCTTGTGTGTTTAATCCACTGTTTAAAATAAACTGTATTAGGGCCGAGTGTGGTGGCTCACACCTGTAATCCCACCACTTTGGGAGGCCAAGGTGGGTGGATCGTTGGAACTTCTTCACAGAATGAAACTGCTCTGATGTGACTGACTTTCAGAAAAGTCTCATGTGCTCACTCAGACATAGTTATGTGTACTGATTCTGTGATCTGTGAAGTTTGTCAGTCTCTGAACGGAATTTGTGTCTGGATTGCATTTATGAAAATGAGAAGAAAATTCACAAATGGACCTTACATATTTTTAGGTTGAGCATCTTTAAAAAACAGTGGATTTGTAACTTAGGGTTTTTTTTTTTTTTTAATATATTTTATTGCGTTTTAGGTTTTGGGGAACATGCGAAGAACATGCAAGATTGTTACATATGTACATACATGGCAATGTGGTTTGCTGCTTTCCTCCCCGTCACCTATATCTGGTGTTTATCCCCATGTTAGCCCTCCCTGTTTTTTTTTTTTTTTTTTAAACTGTTAACCCGATGATATAGCCTTTCCAGATATTTATTACTTTGTAAAATGTAATCGGAGGAGGTAGTCTTTGGAGGAATTTAAAAAGTTGAAACACAAGTTGTAGTTAAACGTTTTTTCTTTTCTTTTTTCTTTCTTTTTTTAATTTTTTTGAGATGAAGTCTTGCCCTGTCACTCAGGCTGGAGTGTAGTGGCATTATCTTGGCTCACTGCAACCCTCGCCTTCCAGGTTCAAGAGATTCTCCTGTGTCAGCCTCCTGAATAGCTGGGATTACAGACACCTGTCACTGTACCTGGCTAATTTTTGTATTTTTAGTAGAGATGAGGTTTCACTATCTTGGCCAAGCTGGTCTTGAACTCCTGACCTCGTGATCCACTCACCTTGATCTCTCAGAGTGCTGGGATTACAGGTGTGAGCCACCGAGCCTGGCCGCTAAACGGTTTCTCTTAACCTGTTTGTAACTCAGAACTCATTGTCCCACAGAACCATGTTGATAGGAGTCTTGAGATTTCCACACCAGCCTTTTAATTCTGTTTACTTGAAAAATGTATTGCCACTAATAATGTAGGCTCTAAACCCTATGGAAATTTTATTTCTGTGGGGAAATGGGGCTGGATTCTAATGTGGTATGCCAGGAATGCACCTTCTTTGTAGCAGGACAGGACTCTAATTTCCACATCTTTAACCAGACTGAGTGCAGGCTTTCTTTGGCCTTTTTTTCACAATTGGAGAGGACAGAGGTTTCCATTTTGTCCTGGACTGTTACAGAACATGACTAAGTCTTAGAGACTTCTACCTCCCTTGTACTCCTGTCCCTAAAGCAAGCCTTGTAAAGCTTTCTGTGGACTCACACTCCCAGATTTGCAAGAACAGAGAAAGGCTTATCCCACATCTCCTGCCATAGCCCCACTCCAATGAGCACCACCCCTACCCCACCTGAAACCAGCTTTTACTTAGACCAAAGGTTCTCAACTCTCTATGTCTCACTTGTGGCTTACACAAAAAGGTTGACATAACATGCTGTTTTCATACACTGTTGATTAAATCCATCAGCCAGTCCTGTTAGCCCTACCTCCAAAAGATATCTGAAATTTGTCCATGTTTCTCCCATCAGCGTTACTAAGTCCCAGAGGCTAGGACCTAGTCAAAACCAGTATCTTTTTTTTTTTTGCCTGGAACACTACAAAAACCACCCAGCTTCCTGTTCTGGCCCTCTTACAGTCTGTTTACCAAATAGCTCAATAGTTGTTTAAATGTATAAATCAGATCATGGCATTTCCCGGTTTAAAATGATCGAATGGCTTCTCATTGCATTTAGAATGAAACACTAATCTTTACCTTAACTGCAAGGCCCTGCATAATCCCTCCCCTGGCTACCTGGCTGCTACATCCTCACTTTGCATCCGTCTCCCCTGTGTACTCTGCCCTGGCTACATCTCCTCAGATCCATCTTTCGGCCACTGAACTGTGTCTTCTGCCATGCTCTTTCCTCCCAGATGTCTTGGCTGACTTTGCTCATTTAATCCATGTCTTATATCAAAGCTCTGCCCTTATCTTCTCTGACCACCCTATTTAAGTAGCCAGCCTACTCCCTCAGTAGTCTCTAATAAAACACTGCTTTATTTCCTTCCCAACCCTTATCACTCTAGTTTTATTTCTTCTCTTAGTTATTCTTGTCTCCTATATTAGAATTTAAGTGCCGTTGTTCACTTTGATACCTTAAGTATCTAGAAAGTGCCTGGTACACAATAAATATTTGATGAATTACTGAATGAAGACTTTGCATTCTTATATCTACTTTTTTCATTCATTAATTAATTCATAAATAATGGTATGGGAAAGTAGTAGTGGGAAGAAGGGTTGGGTCCAGTTGTGACATGGTCCAGAAAAATGGTATGAGGCTAGCTGGAAGGAAGGTGGAAATTTGAAGGTAAAAATAGCCTGGTAGCCAGTGAGAAAGTACAAGCACTCAGTCTGATCAGAACAGTGTCATGTAGCTAGTTGTGAAGCTGCCCCTCCTGCATAATTTCTCAAAAGTCTCATCTATCAATAAGTTTGAAACTAATATATAAACATTACCTGCTATACATGTTTCCCAATCTTATTTTCCTGATCAGATACTAATTTTCATATAGGAAAACTGGCATATTTATTAAGTGAGCATTCTAAAAGTATGTCATTTTATTATGTATAAAAATTCCTCTTAGCTGATAAATGTTTAATTTTAAAAATTCAGTGGGTGAGGAGTTGGGGAGGGATAACATGGGGAGAAATGCCAGATACAGGTGATGGGGAGGAAGGCAGCAAACCACATTGCTATGTGTGTACCTATGCAACAGACTTGCATGTTCTTCACATGTACACCAAAACCTAAAATGCAATAAAATATATTTTTAAAAATTCAAATAAAGTGGAGAATCATTAAAAAATGATCCATGCATCCCTTAATTGTTTTATTTTACCTTAAAATATATAACATATATTCATTCACTAATCATGTTATATAAGACAGGAGTCAGAAAACTTTTTCTGCAAAGGTCAGATAATAAATACTTTTGGGTTTACAGGCCATATAGTCTCTGCTGTAACAACTCAACTCTGCCTTTGTATTGGGAAAACTGCCATAGACAATATGTATAATGAGCAGACTGTCTTAGGAAAATGTTATTTACAAAAACTGCAGATGTGCTGGATTTGGCCTGTAGACCCCTGATGTAGGAGTTTTTCTTGCATGAATCACTCATAATGCATTGTCTACAATTTCTAGTTTGATTTCTGGATCAAATCAAAATGAGAACTTAGCCTTTCATCAAACAGTCTTAGGGCAGACTCTGAGTTTTTATGACTTTTCCCTGGTCCTTTCTTTATAGCTATCCTTTGCAAGCCTCTATTGAGTCTTTCCAAGCATTAGGCTTAGGTTTTTATAGAAAGAGCTCTTTCTAGTCACAATCATATTTCATTGGTATTTAGGTAATAGCTATTTATATAATGATAGTATTGAGTAGAACTTTTATAAATAAGTTAGGTAACCAGCACAACAGAGCCTTGGTGAGCTGAAGTTCACTGTCATAGTGGACTGTAGGGAGCAGTCCTTGGTATTCAGCATGCCATGAAAGGCTTTTTGTTGTTGTTGTTTTTTCTTTTAGGGAACTTATAGAAATGCTGGCAATTTCAAGAAACCAAAAGTTGTTACAGGCTGGAGAAGAAAACCAGGTAAGTGGCTTCTTTTTAAATTAATTAATTTCTCTTTGTTTTTTAATTAAAAAAAAAAAAAGTGGTCAGGCACAGTGGCTCATGCCTATAAACCCAGCATTTTGGGAGGTCAAGGCAGGTGGATCGCCTGAGGTCAGGAGTTCAAGACAAGCCTGACCAACATCATGAAACCTGTCTCTACTAAAAATACAAAACTTAGCCAGGCATGGTGTGGACACTTGTAAGCCCAGCTACTCAGGAGGCTGAGGCAGGAGAATCGCTTGAACCTGGGAGGCAGAGGTTGCAAATGAACCGAGATCGTTTGCACTCCAGCCTGGGTGACAGAGCAAGACTCTGTCCCCCGCCTTCCCCCCAAAAAAAACTTGATTTCTGCAAGTTTTCTATTTATATTTACTTTGTTTGAGAACAGGAAGATTGGATCCTTTTAAGTTATTAATTGAAACTTTAAAATTGATATTTTCTTTGCATTACTTATGTAAGATAACAGTGTGCTCAAGAATAGTTGCCTACCCATTTAGCAGTATATTATTATTTTCTCTTATAATTCTAGTTATACTTACACATTTATTTATTTTTGTCTTTTGAGTTAACCAAGAAAGGTTTGTTGTGGAGATTACAACAGTATCTAGAATCAAAAGTTAATGCTCATAAACTTACCCTTTATTGTAAGTGTAGTTCCCTAGTTTCCTAATGCAACTTGAACATGAATGGAAATAAAAGAGCATACAACTCTTAGTAGACATCGCTTTATAGGTGTGAAAGTGTGGGCAGTTTTTATTTTCTCACTTTTCTGTGCTTTCTAATTTTCTACAATGAACAGACTTTTTCTCCTTGATTCACAAATTTTTTAGAGGTAAGAGGATAAATTTTATATTACATTTTTGGCACAATTATTATTTTGAGACAGGTTCTCGCTCTGTAGCCTAGGCTAGGGTGCAGTGGCGTGATGACTGCTCACTGTAGCCTCAGCCTGCTGGACTCAAGCTATCTCCACTTATCCTCACCAGTATGGGGAATACAGACATGCAGTACTATACCTGCTAATTAAAAAAAAAAAAAAAAAAGTTGTTTTTTTTCTTTTTGGTAGAGATGGAGTCCCTCTGTGTTGCCCAGTCTAGTCTCGAACTCCTGCCCTCAAGCAGTCTTCCTTACCGATGCCTGCCAAAGTGCTGGGACTACAGGCATGAGCCACCATAGCTGGCCAAAAAACTGTTTAAGAGAAAATGAATGGAGAGGATTAACCTTTCTAAAAATGATGAAAAGTGCAAGAAGAGCAGTAATACATCTTTTATCTGCATCATTATGTTCTATCTTATGACATGTTTTGAGGGCAGGGAAATCTGATGGACTCAATAGAAAAGTGTCAAGGAACCTCAAAAAGGGAAGAGGGTATCCAGATGAGGCCACAAGCCTGGAAAAGCAGCTAACCTTAGGGGTAGTAAGGTTTTTGTTTTGTTTTTTTAAAAAAGAAAGAGGCTAGAGATAAATTTGTTAATAGAAGACTATTAGTCTCTCGGGTACTCTATTAATACTTGTGGGATTAAAAAGGAATTTATACAAAATGTGCAAGAAGGAAAATATAAAGCTTGACTTTATTTCGTAGACACTTATTAAATGCTTGCTATGAACCAGGCACACAGATTATTCAGAAGGCGATAATTAAGACCTATAATCAGCACTGACCTTTCTTGTACTTTTTAAAGAGTAGCAATTTTGTGAATTGTATCTTGTACTTAGTACTGTGGATTCCTATGTAATTTTGATTGAAACTCTTAATATTAGAGAGGGATGTGCCCATCTGAAAATTTTCTAGCCACAATTTTATTTGGATATTTATAATCTTATGTAGAATTTTAGAATTAGGATCTTAACGATGTTCAGTTCAACCTCCTGTGAGACTGAGCTCCAGGGTGGACAGATGAACTAGAGGTTAATGGTGAGTGGAACCAGAACCTAAGTCTTCTGACTTTAGTTGAGTAATTTTTCCCTATTGAACAATAAGATCTGAAGAGAATATTTTTTACTCTTGGGTAGTAAACAAATTAGTTCAAACTATATAAACTTTTTAAAGGTTGTCATGGAACTTATGTGTACTACCTGCTTTAATAATATAGCTTTTATAGAAATGGAAACCTAGCTTTCTCCTCCTATGATGTGGGAGGAATGAGGATTAGAGGCCTATTAAACAAATACAATATACTTTTTACAGAAGAAGCTTTCTGTTGTTATCTAAAATACTCTTAATATTTGGCAGTTTGCAACTCAGTCTTTGTCTGTTGTATTAGGAGAATTCCTATAAAAATGAGAGGAACTTTATATAAAAGGGAACTTGAAGAGGCATACCTGTATTTTTTAGTCTTTAACAAATGTTTTTAAAGAGTTTTAAAATTGATTCTGAATTTTGATAGCTATTTTCTTTCTGAAGTATTATTTTCTACTTAGCACAGAAAAGTAAGGGTATATAGGCTAGACCTGCATCTTAATTCTGTACTGGGATGGTGATTGTAGTTACTAGCTTTTGTTGAACTCTTCATGTATGTACTTAAAATGCGTTATATAATGAATCCTCACAATAGCTTTATGTAGTAGTATTATATTCCTTTTCCTAATGAGAGCACAGGCTCAGGGAGGGTGGTAACTTTGCCTATGTCATGCAGGTAGCAAATGGAGAACTAGAGAGATGAACTGCCAGATTTTCTATTTTATGTGTTTTAGCCATCATGGTTTTTTGCCATATCTGCATACCACCTATTTATTTACTGGTTTTTGAAATAACTGTATTTTTAAGATCATCTTCATCATAAGCAGTACTGTGCATAAAATCAGTTTCAATGTCTCAGTTACATTTATTCTAATATGTATTATCACAAATGTGTAACTAAAAGTTTTTTAAGTTCTTGGTGCCATACCTAAAATCGCCTCAAGTGCCAAATTTTGGGAGAATCTTCATTATATTGTTTTTTTGTTTTGTTTTATTGTAGAGATGGAGTTTCAGTCTTGTTTCCTAGGCTGGGGTGCAATGGCGTGATCTCGGCTCACCACAACCTCCGACTCCTGGGTTCAAGCGATTCTCCTTCCTCAGCCTCCTGAGTAGCTGAGATTACAGGCATGTGTGAGCATGCCCGGCTAATTTTGTATTTTTAGTAGAGACGGGGTTTCTCATGTTGGTCAGGCTGGTCTCAAACTATCGGCCTTAGGTAATTCGCCTGCCTCGGCCTCCCAAAGTGCTGGGATTATAGGTGTGAGCCACCGTACCTGGCCTATATTGTATTTTTAAGGATAAACATTTTTTTTTTTTTTAAGATGGAGTCTCACTCTGTTACCCAGGCTGGAGATCAGTGGCATGATCTTGGCTCACTGCAACCTCTACCTCCCAGGTTCATTCGATTCTGGGATTATAGGTGCCCTGCCACCACACCCAACTAATTTTTGTATTTTTAGTAGAGATGGGGTTTCACCATATTGGCCAGGCTAGTCTCAAACTCCTGACCTCAAGTGATCTGCCTGCTTCAGCCTCTCAAAGTACTGGGATTACAGGCAGGAGTCACCGTGCCCAGCCATAAGATTAAACTTTTAAATTTTATCTTCCCTAGGAAATCAGTAAACCTGATCATGCTGGCATATTGCTAGTTCTGAAAGACTAGTTTTAATTTTGTATGAACAGCCGAAAAACTAGAGAAGTTTGATATTAATGTTTCCCAAAATAATTGTAGGTAGGCTATTTTTATTCTTAAGAATGAGGAATAATATTTTGAAAGTTGAAATTTTATAGTCTAGTCAATTCAGGTATGGATTCTTCGTTTCATTGGAATGCAGCCTTTCAGTATTCTGTTGTCTGATTTAATTGACTGTTATCTGACAGGTCCTGGAATTATTAATTCACCGAGATGGGGAATTTCAAGAACTAATGAAATTGGCAGTTAATCAGGGAAAAATTCATCATGAAATGCAAGTTTTGGAAAAAGAAGTAGAGAAGAGAGACAGTGATATTCAGCAACTACAAAAACAGCTAAAGGAAGCAGAACAAATACTGGTAAGTTGACAGAGGTTGATTCTTAAGGTGAAACACGGTATTATTTAATCGATTTCTGAAAAATCTGTTGTCAGTATTTTGAAGAGCAGAAAACTAGACTTTCCAGGTCTAAAAATGACATGTTGTCCATCTTGTCACTAACTATTGCCAGTGGTTAAATGAAAGGCTATTGTCATTCTCTTTTTTACTTACTGTTTTCAGATAGCCTGCATTACTTTTGAGCCACATTTCCATTACTTAAGGATTTTACAGTTTTGAATTATAGAAATGGAAAGTTTTACTTTTATCCTGGTTTAAGTTTTAATTATCAGTAGTCTAAATCTCTCTCTCTTTTTTTTTTTTTTTGGTCTCTGATCCTTAGGATAAAAATCAGGGAAAATTTTTATTTTTATGTATTTTGAAATCAGTAAAAATATATACACATTTTATAAAATGGTTAACATTTACATTAATTTAGTCTTTCATCCTCATCTAGGTAGGATTTGGACCTGTATCAAGGATCCTGGTTTTTCCTTTGTTGTTTTGGCTACTATTTCAAAGAGGCAATTTATTTGCTATTATTTGTCCAGTTACTTAACTAAATGCTAACTAATATAATATGGTGGTTTTGCAGAAATAGCTGAGCTTGATTCTCATGTCAACCAGACATTGCTGGCATCCTTACTGCGGACGATCTCTTAACAAATGTGTCAAAATGAGCTCTAATAACTAGAACCCTGCACATTTCAGGGTAAATTAATCCTCCCCACTAAGAAAACAACTCACTAGTAAATAGTTTTAAAAAATACATTAAAATCAGCCAAGCACAGTGGCTCATGCCTGTAATTCCAGCTTTGGGAGGCCAAGGTGGGCAGATCACCTGAGGTCAGGAGTTCAAGATTAGCTTGGCCAACATGGTGAAATCCATCTCTGCTAAAAATACAAAATAATTAGCTGGGCATGGTGGCTTATGCCTGTAATCCCAGCTACTCAGGAGGCTGAGACAGGATAATCTCTTGAATGGAGGCGGAGGTTGTGATGAACCAGGGTTGTGCCACTACACTCCAGTCTGGGTGACAGAGTGATACTCTGTCTCAAAATATATATATATTTATACACTTAATAATATATATATTAAAATGTTTTTCCTTGTGAAAGTAATACTTGCTCATCAAAAGAAATTCAGGAAATATAGAATAATGGAAAGAGGAGGGGAAACAATTGCCTTTAGTTCAGCTGCTTAAAGAATGCCACTATTCATAGTTTGGTCTATTTCCTTTGAGTCTCTGGTGTATTCATTTTTTAGCTTATTGTAGTTAAGGATACTAACAGACTTTCAGTTACTATTTATTGGATACTTAAGCATTTTTCATATAATAGTATCTACTTTGTTTGATTTTCCAACTTTGTGTTATAAAGAAAGAATTAAAGACATTGAACACAGGATCATAAAACTGAATTTCATGATTTAAATTGTAGTAACGAATATTGATTGAGCACTTAGGTACCAGGCCCTGTGCCTTGCATTTTATATGCCTTCCATCTTCATAACAGTTTATGTAAAGTCAGTGTTGTTATTTAGAGGAAGAAACCAAGACTTTTTAATAACTAACTTGCCCATGAAGGCTAAAATGTAGATTGAATTTAAACCTTGATCTCTCTGATACCATACTCTTTTTTTTTTTGAGACAGAGTCTTGCTCTGTTGCCCAGGCTGGAGTACAGTGGCACAATCTTGGCTCACTGCAACCTCTGCCTCCTGGGTTCAAGCAATTCTTCTGCCTCAGCCTCCTGAGTAGTTGAGAGTACAGGCGTGTGCCACCACACCTGGCTAATTTTTTTTTGTATGTTTAGTAGAGATAGGTTTTTACCATTTGGTCAGGCTGGTCGTGAACTCCTGACCTCAAATGATCCACCTGCCCCGGTCTCCCAAACTGCTGGGATTACAGGTGTGAGCCATTGTGCCTGGCCTGACTCCATACTCTTAACCACTGTGTCATAGTCGAGGATATGCATACACTAAGTTAACTTCATTTTGTCCTTCAGTGTATGTACCCGGGGAGTTAGATGGGGTGTTTTTGTGATAAAGTCATTAAACATTGAGGTGACATATAAATGAATAAGAATTTGAATACAAGGTTGTATCTTCCAAACTAGGGGAAAAAAAGGTGTTTTTTTTCTTGAACTAGTTGCAAGAATAGGATGCTTTTGGGTCGTGCATGGTCTGGTTGTCTTCTGTATGTTTATGAAGACATGAAGAAAAAGTAAACAATTTATATTTTGTTTCTACAACTAATTTGTGAATGGGAGGCTAGTTCATAAATTAATAGTTCTTTCATTATATATGACTGAAATAAATAATGTCAAGTGATATTATAGAACATTACAAATAAATTGTGGGGATTTCCAAGTTTTGAAGACTGTTATTATGGGATAAATGATCTTGTGAATTAAGCCAAAAACTATGTTTGATATAGTTAAGAATAAAACACATTTTTTTAAATGTTGTTTCAATTAGGCAACAGCTGTTTACCAAGCAAAGGAGAAACTCAAGTCAATAGAAAAAGCAAGAAAAGGTTAGTATTATGGGAAGATGGAATTACCTGAAAAGTTAAGTTTTTTCAAGAAACCAATATGAGAGGATATTACTGATAATCATTTGCTGCTGTTGAAAATATTGAATAAATTTTTCTTGTAAAGTATGTTATGTTCTCTTATTGTGGTAGGTGTTGTGAGGGAGGTAGAAATATGACATCCTTTTTCAGATAATAAAAAGCAGTTAATACAAGGCAGTTTTTTGCTGTGGGCCAGAATGTGCAGTAAAAACAGTGAGTTTATAAAATTGGTGGGAGAGGGGAAGAGAAGTATGGGCTGTAAGTGGGATTTGTACCAGATCTTGAAGGCTAGGGCAGAGAGTAAAAGGACATCCATTGGACAACTGAGCTGGAACTGAAACATCATGAAGTCAGAGCTAGCTACAACCTTGGCATGCAAGTACATTTGGTGGTGCAGAGGCCCATAAGCCTTCCTGCGCTGCTGTCCCTCTGTCAAAGGCTCCTGTTACAGATATTACTTGACTTGTTAGTTTGTCATACTGACGGTCAGAATTGTAATTACAACTTTGGCTACTTGCCTTTAATGACTTGTAGATACGGTTTTACATTTAGTCATCTCAGATTTATTGTCTGTCCTCTTTTTTAGGAGCCCATGTTTTGATTGTTACATGTGAAAAATAGCTAATACTCTCTTAAGAGTTAAGTTAGGCTTAGAAAGAAATTTGTAGCAAGAAACAAATCTCTGGGAGAGATGACTGAGGCTGGCTATTGAATTCTAGATGATAGTTTGATTTTTAAAATTTTTTAAATTTTTTTTTATTTTTTTGCATTTTACGTTTTGGGGTACATGTGAAGAACATGCAAGATTGTTGCATAGGTACACACATGGCAGTGTGATTTGCTGCCTTCCTCCCCAGATAGTTTGATTTTGTTTTTTAATCTTCAAAAATTTTACACACATACACTTTGTTACTTTGAAACAGTATCTAAAATTTGTAAAATAAAAAATGTGCTGTTCTCACTTCTTGGTGGTAACTACTATTAATGTTTGGTATATGTCCTTCTAGATTTTTCTTCTAGATCTGTGAGTATGTATGTAGTAAAAATACAAATACACATATGTACGTATATTTTAAACAGTCAGGTAATACCATACATATTATTTAGCAGTTTAGTTTAGTTTTTTTTTTTTTTTTTTTAAACCTAATGAAGACATTGTAGACATCTTTCTACTCAGGCCTATTTAAGAGCCTCAGGGCATATTAATCAAACAGTGGTGTGAATTGTCTGCTCTGATTTCATAGCTTGGATGTCATTGAGAAGTGAAACGCTGTTTTCTCTCTATTTGTGCTCACTATTGCTTTCAGAAGAGTAATAGTATTTAACAGTAGTTAATAATTGAGATTATTGAGTGCTGTCATGCTAATCTCCCAGACTTGTTTATGTCAGCTGATTTTTCTGAATTAGTATCTTGTTTTTGGAGATTTAAGTTTATACTAAATATGTAGGTATTGTTAAGGAAGGTGGGTGACTGAGATTATTTTATTTTCAGATAATTTCAAATTAAGTATGATGTGTAACTGATAAATATACTTCTAAACTTGTATGTTTGTTATACTACAGGTTATACTATCCTCTTAACTCTTTCAGGTGCTATCTCCTCTGAAGAAATAATTAAGTATGCACATAGGATCAGTGCAAGTAATGCTGTATGTGCCCCACTAACCTGGGTTCCAGGTAAACATACTTCTCTTTTGTACTAGATATATGTGGCTTTGAAAATTCTTAGGTGACTGTGTACAGAAATAGATTTAATATAGAATGTATTTATCCTTTGAAACCTCTGCTACATATTTTCACATTTTTAATGGTTTATAAGTAATGATACAGGCCATGGGTTTTATAAATTTGGTTTCCTACAAAGCCATTGTTGCTAGGGACTGCATTTCTTTCCTCTTTTGAAATAATAAATTGATAATTTTTTTAAAGTACAAGATAATGTGATACTTCTTTTTTTTTTTTTTTTTTTTTTTTTTTTTTTTTTTTTTTTTTTTTTTTTTTTGAGATGGAGTTTCGCTCTTGTTACCCAGGCTGGAGTGCAATGGCGCGATCTCGGCTCACCACAACCTCCGTCTCCTGGGTTCAGGCAATTCTCCTGCCTCAGCCTCCTGAGTAGCTGGGATTACAGGCACACGCCACCATGCCCAGCTAATTTTTTGTATTTTTAGTAGAGACGGGGTTTCACCATGTTGACCAGGATGGTCTCGATCTCTTGACCTCGTGATCCACCCGCCTCGGCCTCCCAAAGTGCTGGGATTACAGGCTTGAGCCACCGCGCCCGGCCGATAATGTGATACTTCTAAAGCTTTGGATTTATATACCATTATATCAGGGCTGGCCAGGAGCCAACTTTTTAGAACCATTGGGATTTCCACAAAGGTTCCAGCTGAGAAGGTCAATTCCAATTCTCTTAGATGCCAAAGACAAAGTGCTGTGCACCCAACACTGAACACACAGGCTTGGAAAGAGCTGGGATAATTAGACGGCAAAGAGAGTATTAAGCTGCAACTATATTGACAGTGGATGAAACATAAAACAGGAGACATAAGGTAGCAGCCTTCCTGGAGGAAGGGGAAATATTAATAGTTATCTCCAGTAACTCCTGAAGGTGCTGTGTTACCATGCACTAAGGGTGACTATAATTTTGGGGATGAGTAATCTGCAGTTGGTGGACATGCCCAAAAAGTCGGTCCAAATCTGGTCATGTTTTTGTTAACTCCAAACTGCTATTTAGTGTGCTTTCATGTTTGGAATGAACATTACCTGCTCCTGCTATTTCACCACTTATAGAAATTAGTTTCTGAATGACAAGATCAAAGAGGTTGGTTAGAAAAAGGTTTTATCTTGAACAAGGTGGTATGGGGGAAAAAAATAAAGATGAATTTTTTTTTAAAAAAGGTTTAAATTTGGACACCCCTTCCAATAAACATTCCAGTCCTTTCTGTCTTATAAGTGTCATGATTTTTTTCTCCCTTACAACATATATCATTGTCATTTTTTTGCTAGAAAATAAACTTAAATTTGAATAATTGAGATCATTCTAATTTTCTTAAGTTGTCATCAGGAATGTTTATAAAAAAATGACTTCATTTTTTTTAATGTATAGAAAATAGGGTATTCTTGGGAAGATTTAGAAAAGAAATTAAAATGCATGTATTTTAAGAAGTAATACTATATTCTTAATAACAATTTATAAGTTGAGTTTTATAATCCTCTTTTTTTGAGATGCAGTCTTGCTCTGTTGCCCAGGCTGAAGTGCAGTGGCGCGATCTCAGCTCACTGCAACCTCTGCTTCCCAGGTTCAGGTGATTCTCCTGCCTCAGCCTCCTGAGTAGCTGGGATTACAGGCGCACACCACCACGCCTTGCTAATTTTTGTATTTTTAATTAGAGATGGGGTTTCACCATGTTGGCCAGGCTGGTCTTGAACTCCTGACCTCAGGTAGTCTGACCCCCACTGGCCTCCCAAAGTGCTGGGATTACAGGCATGAGCCACCACACCTGGCCAGATTACTTTTATATTTCAAAATTGAAAATGTGGCCTGAATTTTTCACTGTGAACCAAGGGAAGTTAGTACTTAAAAGAACATATTAATGCTTATTTTTAAAAATATGATTGAATTAAATGTGGTCTTTATTGTTTTAGGGGACCCCCGGAGACCTTACCCAACTGATTTAGAGATGAGAAGTGGTTTACTAGGTCAGATGAACAATCCTTCCACCAATGGTGTGAATGGCCATTTACCAGGGGATGCACTTGCAGCAGGAAGATTGCCAGGTAATGTTAAGCTGAAGAGTATTTGCAGACAGATCCAGGTTTTCCAGGATGACAAGGATGGGATATCTGGCTGTAAAGCAAGTTTGAGATTCCCGACATAATTATTATTATTTTTTTTTTGAGACGGAGTTCTGCTCTTGTTGCCCGGGCTGGAGTGCAATGGTGCGACGTTGTCTCACCACAACCTTCACTTCCTGGGTTCAAGCGATTCTCCTGCCTCAGCCTCCCAAGTAGCTGGGATTACAGGCATGTGCCACCACGCCCATCTAATTTTGTATTTTTAGTAGAGATGGGGTTTTCTTATATTGGCCAGGCTGGTCTCATTTCTCTATGTTGGTCATATTGCAGATATTAGGAGACTGGAGAGACCAATGGGTGAAACAGGAGGATTTTATTTAGGTGCACCAGCTCAGTGGATTTGCATTTGAAAACTGAGCACAGCATAAAGAAAACGGGTGCCTTTTATGTACCTTTGTGATGCAGGATAATGAAGTAGGCATCGATTTTACACAACTAAGAACAAAGGGCTGTTAATTAACCTGTGGCATGTCTTGTGTTGTACTTTACATTTGAAAAATAACATTTTGAGAAATACGTTTTGCATTCTTCAGGTTTATCTGCCTGTGACCTTGCAGCTGATCTGCAAGAAGAATAGGAACCCTTAGATGCCTGGAAACTTTCCTAAGAATGTGGGGAGGATAGATAATGTCAAATGGTTTACAGAGAGACAGTTAATGTCTTAAGCAGAGCTGGGGAGGAGGTATTAAACAGCACACAACACAGCAAAAGTTACCTTATTTAACAGCTGCTACAAATTACTATTATTGTTATTTAATTTTTTTCTTCAGTCAGGCTGGTCTCAAACTCCTGACCTCAGGTGATCTGCCCACCTCGGCCTCCCAAAGCGGTGGAATTACAAGTATGAGCCACCGCTGGTGCCCAGCAATTTTTTTTTTTTTTTTTTTTTTAAATTTGAGACAGAGTTTCCCTGTGTCGCCTAGACTGGAGTGCATTGGTGCAGTCTTGGCTCCTGGGTTCCAGTGATTCTCGTGCCTCAGCCATCCCAGTAGCTGGGATTACAGGCTCGTGCCACCACACCTGGCTAATTTTTGCATTTTTCGTGGAGACGGGGTTTCGGCCTATTGGCCAGGCTAGTCTCAAACTCCTGACCCAAAGTGATTGCCCACCTCAGCCTCCCAAAGTGCTGGAATTGCAGGTGTGAGCCAGTGTACTCAGCTGTCAGACCCAGTTCACTGTAGTAGCTAGATTATTTGCCAGTTTATTCTGCTCTCTAAAGATTCTCCTTGAGGGAGGTATGAAATTAGAGCAAGCTACCTCTCTCTTATTTGTAAATATTACACTGTTTTCCTCAGGCATTTGGCTTCTCTTTTTAAATTATTGCTCTAAACATAGCTTTTTTATAATTGTGAAACATGCTATGCAAACAGAGTAAGATTGTTTACAGAATAAAGTGAACACACTCCTGTGTGTTAACAGAATAACAATACCTTTTTATAAACTTTTAAAACTTTATAAAATAGTATTTCTGTGAGACCCAGTTCATTCTGAACTTCTGTTTTCCTGAAGTTTTTCGTAGGTTTGTGCTGTTTTTATATATATTTATTTTATATTATTCCTCATCTTTTGTAGTTTGTAGGTGACTTTTGTTTTAATGTGGTAGAACATTTGGGAAGTAGAAAAAGGCATTTAAAAAAGGAAAAAAAAAAAACCCAGCCCTTTCTGAGGTAATGATTTTAAATATTTAGCTTGTTTTCTTTTTTCCCTGTATATTATTTGCTTAATGTTACATCATAAGGTGGTCCCTATGTCATTAATAATGTTTTATATGCATCATTTTTGTTAGCTACCTAAAATACAAACTGGGGAACCCACTGTGATATCTTTGGGTATCACCTCATATTTCTCATTTTTTGAAAGTACAAGAAAAACAGGTATGGGGAGTCACTGCTACATTTTGGACCAAGGAAGGGACAGACCTAGAAATGGTCCTCCCCAGCCCCATCCCAAGGCCGATATTCAAATCATGGTGCTGTCATTGGAGAGGGTGTAGTGTAGTTGTGGCCCACTCTATGGCAGAGAAGTTAGATGAGGCGTCAGAGGCCAGAGCTGGCAAGCAGGAACTTACCCACTGGGGTTCCAGGGAGACTTGCTTGGAAGCTGCCCTTTGGGATTGTGGTGAAACCTGCTAGGAAACCACCTTTAGGGATGCCACTGAAAGTTGCTGTGGTGAATACCACTTAATGTCCTGCACACGAACCAGGCATCACAGCAGTAAAGGAAAAAAACACCTGATCCAGGAAGTCAAGCTTATTTGCCTGTGGAGTCTCACCTGTGCCCTCTACTGACAAAACTTAATTGTGGCAGCTGGCAAAGGAGAAATGGTTTCAGGGGCCAGAGAGAAGGGTAGATTTGAAGCTAACTGGCATGCCTTTCTAGTTAACACTGTAACTCTTTCTTTTGACCCTTTAAAAATCTGCCTTCTTTCTTTGAGTCTTGAACTATACCTGTTTATGTGCTCTGTTCCTTTGCATCAGAAATACAGACTTTTAATGTGACTTGGGCACTTTTTTGTAAGATATTTTATATGCATACATTGAAAATCAGCCTCTCTTTGATGAGAGTCACTTACAATAGCAGTTCCTCTGTTGAGAAATCATTCAAACCTAGTATAATAATACTAAATGAAGTACCTATTACCTGTTTATAATATGTAGAATAATCTACATAACCTAGTATACATAATTATGTATTATACATACATATAATGGATACACAGATACAGGAAACATTTGTAATTGTAAATGTCTTACAAAAGAAAAATTATATCAGCTGACTATTTGAATAGTTTCTTACAGAGTAGTATGATTTAAAAAAAGTTCCCAGTTGCTAAAATATGATACTTTTTCTTGATAAATTTGATTTTTACTAATTTGGCTAAATGTGTATTTTTTTCCTAGTCTTAAAAAAATTGGTACAATAGCTTATGCCTGTAATACCAACACTTTGGGAGGCTGAGGTAGGAGGATAGCTTGAGCCCAGGAGTTGGAGACCAGCCTGGGTAACATAGGGAGACCTCATTGCTACAAAAACTTTAAAAAGTAGCCAAGCGTGGTGGCATGTACCTGTAGCCCAGCTACTCAGGAGGCTGAGTCAGGAGGACTTCTTGAGCCTAGGTCAGGGCTACAGTGAGCTGTGTTCGTGCTATTTCACTAGAGCCTGGGTGACAGAATGAGACCCTGTCTCAAAAAAAGAAAAGAAAAAAGTAACATTAAAAAATATATATACTTCAAATTGTTTGTATAAAGGGAAAAGTTAGTACTAGATTAATTACAAATGGAGCTGTTCTTATCTGTGATTCCTTTTTTCTTCCAGATGTCCTTGCTCCTCAGTATCCATGGCAGTCAAATGACATGTCAATGAATATGTTACCACCAAATCATAGTAGTGACTTTTTGTTGGAACCTCCTGGGCATAATAAAGAAAATGAAGACGATGTAGAGATTATGTCAACCGACTCCTCAAGCAGTAGTAGTGAGTCTGATTAAAAAACTGTAAAAGACAATATATAGAATTGAATACTGTCAAATTCTGTTTCTTTAACAGTAGCAGGGTAGGATAAACTACAGATGGCAAAGAATAGCCAGGTAAACAGTGGCTTCGGTAGAATTGTGCAGCCATTAAAAGTCAAAATGAACTTTCTCTTTGAAGCCAAAGATTATAGCTTTAGTGTTAAGCCCCTAATAGTCAAAATTTACTGTTGAAAAGAAAAAGCAGTGGCTAAGTGCTGTTTACCCTGTTCTGTTCCAGTTGTGCTGGATTTGTCACCTTCCTCTTCTTGCAGTTTCCCAGAAGTCACTTTTAACCACTTTTAATTTCTGGTGGTTAACCTCTGTGTTTAAGTAATATGCTTATACAACTATTTCTTGATGTATGAGTTTTAGACAATGTATCTTTTTTCTCATTTCAAAGGTAATACAACATATTATCAAACATGTAGTGAATACAGTAAAGCACAAAGGAAATAGAGTTGAGGGAAATGATCCATGTACATATCACTCATAGGCTTCCTGGAATTATTTAGAAAAGCATTTTTAAACTGGCAGTGAATAACTAAATAGGGATCATATTTTTGTGTGTCATTTAAAAATGACAAAAACTCTTATTTGACAGTAAAGGCTCTTGGCTTCTGTTGGAGGAATGGGAAGTTGTCTCAATTTGTACAGTTTGTAATTATTGTAATTTTTGTAAATAAATTTACTTTTGTTTGTACTTTGTATGCTTTGCTTTTTTTTTTTTTAAGTTTAAATATACCATCAGTGTAGGTAGGAAATTATTTCTGTAAATCTAGCTATATTTTATAATACTTGAGTGACTAATTAAGTTGAAATCTAGTACAATGAATAGGTTTTTCAAAGGCCCACATTCTTATTAGATGAAATATTTTTTTTAATAATTGAAAAAATTTACCACAGTCTTGTCTGATTTTAAGAATAGATTGCGTAAAAAGATTTAAATGCAAAGCAACCATTTCTTCCCTTCACCTTCTTCTTGCAGTTTTCCAGAGGGAGTCACTTTTTTTTTTCTTTAATTTATTGTACTTTAGGTTCTGGAGTACATGTGCAGATCATGCAGGATTGTTGCATAGATACCTACATGGCAAGGTGGTTTGCTGCGTTCATCCCCCCATCACCTATATCTGGTATTTCTCCCCTCGTTATCCCTCCCCACCCTCTCCACCCCACACCGTCCCTCCCCTAACCCTCCCAACTGACCGCAGTGTGTGATGCTCCCCTCCCTGTGTCCACGTGTTCTAATTGTTCAACACACACCTATAAGTGATAACATGTGGTGTTTGGTGTTCTGTTCTTGTGTCAGTTTGCTGAGAATGATGGTTTCCAGATTCATCCATGTCCCTATGAAGGACACGAACTCATCACTTTTTATGGCTGCGTAGTTTTCCATGGTGTATATGTGCCACATTTTCTTTATCCAGTCTATTGTTGATGGACATTTGGGTTGGTTCTAGGTCTTTGCTGTTGTAAACTGTGCTGCAATGAACATACGTGTGCATGTGTCTTTATAATAGAAAAACTTATAATTCTTTGGGTATATACCCAGTAATGGGATTGCTAGGTCAAATGGTATTTCTGTTTCTAGGTCCTAAGGAATCATCACACTGTCTTCCACAATGGTTGCACTAATTTGCACTCCCACCAACAATGTAAAGTGTTCCTATTTCTCCACATCCTTTCCAGCATCTGTTGTCTCCAAATTTTTTAATGATCGCCATTCTAACTGGCATGAGATGGTATCTCAGTGTAGTTTTGATTTGCATTTCTCTAATGACCAGTGATGATGAGCCCTTTTTCATATGTTTGTTGGCCTCATAGATGTCGTCTTTTGTAAAGTGTTTGTTCATATCCTTCACCCATTTTTGAATGGGCTTGTTTGTTTTTTTCTATAAATCTGTTTTAGTTCTTTGTAGATTCTCGATATTAGCCCTTTGTCAGATGGGTAGATTGCAAAATTTTTTCACATTCTTTTGGCTACCAGTTTGCTCTAATGATTGTTTCCTTTGCTATACAGAAGCTCTGGAGTTTAATCAGACCCCATTTGTCTCTTTTGGCTTTTGTTGCCATTGCTTTTGGTGTTTTAGCCATGAAGTCCTTGCCTATGCCTATGTCCTGAATGGTTTTGCCTAGGTTTTCTTCCAGGGTTTTTATGGTGTTAGGTCTTATGTTTAGATCTGTAATCCATCTGGAGTTAATTTTAGTGTAAGGTGTCAGGAAGGGGTCCAGTTTCTGCTTTCTGCACATTGCTAGCCAGTTTTCCCAACGCCATTTATTAAACAGGAAATCCTTTCCCCATTGCTTGTTTTTGTCAGGTTTGTCAAAGATCAGATGGTTGTAGATGTGTAGTGTTGCTTCTGAGGCCTCTGTTCTGTTCCATTGGTCTATGTCTCTTGGTACCAGTACCTTGCTGTTTTGATTACTGTGGCCTTGTAGTATTGTTTGAAGTCAGGCAGCATGATGCTTCCAGCTTTGTTCTTTTTGCTTAGGATTGTTTTGTCTATGCGGGCTCTCTTTTGGCTCCATATGAAGTTTGAAGTGGTTTTTTCCAGTTCCGTGAAGAAGGTCATTGGTAGCTTGATGGGGATAGCGTTGAATCTAAATCGCTTTGGGCATTGTGGCCATTTTCACGATGTTGATTCTTCCCAACCATGAGCATGGAATGTTTTTTCATCTGTTTGTGTCCTCTTTTATTTCATTGAGCAGTGGTTTGTAATTCTCCTTGAAGAGGTCCTTTACATCCTTTGTTAGTTATATTCCAAGGTATTTTATTTTCTTTGTAGCAATTGTGAATGGGAGTTCACTTTTGATTTGGCTCTCTGTTTGTCTGTTACTGGTGTATAGAAATGCTTGTGATTTCTGCACATTGATTTTGTATCCTGAGACTTTGCTGAAGTTGCTTATCAGTTTAAGGAGATTTTGGGCGAGATGATGGGGTCCTCTAAATATACAATTATGTCATCAGCAAATAGAGACAATTTGGCTTCCTCTTCCTAATTGAATACCCTTTTTTCTTTTTCTTGCCTGATTGTTCTGGCTAGAATTTCCAATACTATATTGAATAGGAGTGGTGAGAGAGGGCATCCTTGTCTAGTACCAGTTTTCAAAGGGAATGCTTCCAGTTTTTGCCCATTAAGTATGATACTGGCTATGGGTTTGTTGTAAATAGCTTCTATTATTTTGTGGTATGTACCATCGATACCTAGTTTATTGAGGGTTTTTAGCATAAAGAGCTGTTGAATTTTGTCAAAGGCCTTCTCTACATTTATTGAGATAATTGTGGTTTTTGTCTTTGGTTCTGTTTATGTGATTGATTACATTTATAGACTCGTGTATGTTGAACCAGCCTTGCACCCCGGGATGAAGACTACTTGATCATGATGAATAAGTTTGTTGATTTTCTGTTGCATTCTGTTTGCCAGTATTTTATTGAAGATTTTTGTGTTGATGTTCGTTGTGGATATTGGCCTGAAATTTTCTTTTTTAGTTGCATCTCTGCCCGGTTTTGGTATTAGGATGTTGGTCTCATAAAATGAGTTGGGGAGGATTCCCTCTTTTTGTATTGCTTGGAATAATTTCAGAAGGAATTGTACCAGCTCCTCTTTGTATGTCTGGTAGAATTTGGCTGTGAACCCATCTGGACCTGGACGTTTTTTGGTTGGTAGGCTATTGATTGCTGCCTCAACTTCAGCCCTTGTTATTGGTCTATTCAGGGATTCAACTTCTTCTTCATTTAGTCTTGGGAGAGTGCAAGTGTCTGGGAATTTATCCATTTCTTCCAGGTTTACTGGTTTGTAGTCATCTCTGATGGTAGTTTGTATTTCTGTGGGATCGGTGGTGATATCCCGTTTATCTTTTTTTATTGCATCTATTTGATTCTTCTCTCTTTTCTTTTTTATTAGTCTGGCTAGTGGTCTGTTTTGTTGATCTTTTCGAAAAAACCAGCTCCTGGATTTATTGATTTTTTTGAAGGGGTTTTTGTTTCTCTATCTCTTGAGTTCTTCCCTGATCTTGGTTATTTCTTGTCTTCTGCTAGCTTTTGAATTTTTTTTGACCTTCCTCCTCTAGCTCTTTCAATTTTGATGATAGGGTGTCGATTTTAGATCTTTCCTTTTTTTTCATGTGGGCATTTATTGCTATAAATTTCCCTCTCAACACTGCTAAGCAGGTGTCCCCGAGATTCTGGTAAGTTGTGTCTTCATTCTGATTGATTTTGAAGAACATCTTTATTTCTGCCTTCATTTTGTTATTTATCCAGTCTACACTCAGAAGCAAGTTGTTTGGTTTCCAAGTGGTTGTACGGATGAGTGTGTTTCTTAATCCTGAGTTCTAATCTGATTGCACTGTGGTCTGATAGACTGTTATGATTTCCATTCTTTTTCATTTTCTGAGGATTGATTTGCATCCCATTATGTGGTCAATTTTAGAGTAAGTGTGATATGGTGCTGAGAAAAATGTATATTCTGTGGATTTGTGGTGGAGCGTTTTGTATATGTCTATTAGGTCTGCTTAGTCCAGCTCTGCATTCAAGTCCCAGATGTCCTTGTTAATTTTCTGTCTCGTTGATCTGTCTAATATTGACAATGGAGTGTTGAAGTTTCCTACTATTATTGTGTGGGAGTCTAAATCTCGTTTTAAGTCATTAAGAACTTGCTTTATGTATCTGGGTGCTCCTGTGTTGGGTGCATATATATTTAGGATAGTTAGCTCTTCTTGTTGGATTGATCTTTTTACCATTATGTAATGCCCTTGTCTCTTTTGATCCTTGTTGGTTTGAAGTGCATTTTATCAGAGACTAGGATTGCAACCCCTCCTTTTTTTTGTTCACCATTTGCCTGGAGATAAATAATAAATAATATATCTTCCATCCCTTTATTTTGAGTCTGTGTTTGTCTTTGTTTGTGAGATGGGTTTCCTGAAAACAGCACACCGATGGGTCTTGACTTTTTATCCAGCTTCCCAGTCTGTATCTTTTGATTGGGGTGTTTAGGCCATTTACAGTCAATGTTAATATTGTTAATATATGAATTTGATCCTGCCATTTTGTTACTGGCTAGTTTTCTTGCCCATTAGTTGACTCATTTTCTTCATTGCATTTTTTGGTCTTTGCTATTTGGCATGCTTTTGCAGTGGCTGGTACTTGTTCCTTTCCGTGCTTAGTGTTTCTTTCAGGAGCTCTTGTAGAGCAGGTCTGGTGGTGACGAAATCTCTCAGTAATTGCTTGTCCGTAAAGGATTTTATTTCTCCTTCACTTATGAAGCTTAGTTTGGCTGGATATGAGATTCTGAGTTGAAAGTTCTTTTCTCAAATATGTTGAATATTGGCTCCCACTCTCTTCTGGCTTTTAGGGTTTCTGCCGAGAGATCCGCTGTGAGTCTGATTGGCTTCCCTCTGTGGGTGACCTGACTTTTCTCTCTGGCTGCCCTTAGCAATTTTTCCTTCATTTCAACCCCAGTGAATCTGACAATTCTGTGCCTTAGGGTTGCTCTTGTGGAGTTCTCTGTATTTCTTGGATTTGAATGTTGGACTGCCTTGCTAGGCTTGGGAAGTTCTCCTGGATAATATACTGGAGCTTGTTTTCCAGCTTGGATTCATTCTCCCCGTCGTATTCAGGTATACCAATCAAGTGTAGATTAGGTTTTTTCACATAATCCCATATTTCTTGGAAGGTTTGTTTGTTTCTTTTCACTCTTTTTTCTCTTGTCTTCTCTTTTTATTTCATTAAGTTCAATTTGTGATATCCTTTCTGCTTGATTGATTTGGCTATTAAAACTTGTGTTTGTGTCATGTAATTCTCGTGCTGTGTTTTTCAACTCCATCAAGTCGTTTATGTTCTTCTCTAAGCTGATTATTCTAGTTAGCATTCCGTCTAACCTTTTTTCAAGGTTTTTGGTTTCTTTGCATTGATAGAACGTGTTCTTTTAGCTCAGAAAAGTTTGTTATTATCCACCTTCTGAAGCCTGTTTCTGTCAGTTCATCGCACTCTTCCTCAGTCGTGTTGTGTTCCCGTGTTGTTGAGGAGCTGCAATCTCTTGAAGGAGAAGAGGTGCTCTGTTCTTTGATGGTTTCATCTTTTTTGCACTGGTTTTTTCCCATCTTTGTGGATTTACCTGGCTGTGATCTCGGAAGCTGTTTGATAAGGTGGGTTTCTAGGGACTCCTCAAAGATCTCTTCTTAAAGTACTCCTTTAACATACACACAATATATAGCGTTTTACTAACTTGCTGAAACGAAAAGAAAATGTGGCCAATTTAAAATTTACTGTAGCATAGAATATGGCCGTAACAGTCCCAATGGAAAGAACAGGATGAAGAATAATATATGTGGGGTGTTTTTTTTTTCTCCCCCTGAATTCTTGTAAGTATAGCACTTCCCATTTTTGAAAAACCTTCTTGTAGCATTCAATCATCTTTTTCTGTATATGATTCTAACTACAGTGATTAGTTTTCACCAGCTGTATTCCACACATGGAATTTTTTTTTTTTTAAAGTGGGTTAGCTTTGCCTGTCAGCTTCTTCCTCAGGTGAACATATATAACTTGCTTCTCATATTTAGTGCTCATATCCCCAAGAGTGAGATACTGACAGTACCTTTTAAGTACAGAATCCAACATAAAGTCCTATTGTTAAAATTTTTTCATCATCAATTAGGATTTTTTAAATGTGCCAACGCGCTTAAAACTTAGGATAACTAAAATATATTATGACAGTAGGAACTGCAAAAACCATCCTTCTTGGGATTTAAAACAATACAAAACAAAAAATAACATCTTGCTTTTGAAATACTATAATTTGAAAACATCTGGTACATTCTCCATTCTGGTTGTACTGTGATTTTTTTCTCATCAACGAAACATGTACCAGTAGTTTTGGAGTTCTGATTCTGCCCCTTCCCCTCTTGGGCTTATGAAGCACATTCCCTGTTTTAGGATACCATTTTCACATTCCCTTCATCAGTTTGAATGCAGCGCCCCATCATTCCTTCCAATACTTTCCACCTTTTTCATTTTTATAAGATATATCGGTAGATTCCATTTTTAGGACAAATTCTTGTTTCCCTGACAAGGATGTCCACTCACTTGGTATCAGAAACAGCACATGGTGATATGAAACAGAGAATTAGCAACCCCAGGCATGATCTATCCCCATTTGTCTCATTTTTGACAACACTGGAACTCAGCCAAACAAAGTTACCATAGACCCTACTCTGGCCTGTCATGTACAGAAAGTGACTGTCATAGTTAGCTGAGCAACTTCTGATTCCAGCCCAGAGCACCTACACTTTGGGACAGGTTCAATACAGAATGAAATCGTCATTTTTGTATTTTCTTGTAGTGCCTCTTCCTTTCTCTGGCATCTCAATGCACACTATATTAGGAAAGGACACCTCACATGTTACAATTTGGCAAACGAGGCAGGTAGTAACAAACAGGGCCTTAACTTGCTGTAATTATATGCACAGGTAGGCAAATGCCTAATTCTGTGCAGTGTGTTTCATAACAGATTTTCAAAAGACAGAGACAATTCTAGTCTGTAACAGCCCCATGGAACGGATAGGTAAGACTTAATAAAGTTTCTAACTGTAAACAATGCTTTTGTATTGGTGATTATTTTCCAGAAATTGAAATTTCAGGACAGTGCAACAATGCTCGTTGTGTCTTCTTTGGCAATAAATAGCAAGGATCTGGATGGAGAGTGGAGTGGTCACTTCAGAAGGGCCAGGTATACAGCTCGAGAATACTTCATCTCCCGTTCCTGTGCCATACAAAATATCAAGTCCCTGAGGCAGTTTCTCGTGATTCTTGGATGAAGCAACTGTTTGGTGGCTCTCAGGCTGGATGTCTCAGAAGCAAGAAGGTTGTCTTTTAAACCCTCACTTCCAGATTCTAGTGGTCTCTTCTTCCTTGGTCCAGTAGCTGCAAGAGCTGTGAGATAAGCATCTCTATGCTGTATCTGTGCAAGTTCCAACTGCTGTAATCTGGCCTTCTGCTTTAATCTCAGGTGTTCTGGGTCTTCTTTATTAGAATGACTCTTGGCTGCAACATTTCTCTTGGTTCTAAATCCTTTCTCTGCTTCTCCAATTGATCCAGCTTTTTCAGAAACTGAGCTGTAACCTGGTATCACTACACAAGATATAATTTTCACTTGCCTTGTTAAGTAGCCATTCTATGCTGAGCAATTGCAGTCAGTTTTTCTAGAAGGTTCCTGTGTTGCATGGTAGATAAGTTCACAGCATTAGAGTTAAGTTCTGTAATGTCATGCTTTTTACCAATGTGTAAAATTCTCTTTTGTAGAGCTACAATAAAAAGAAATGATTCATCTTTACATGACTGAAATGAGTGTGCCAACCAATTCAGAGTTTGTTGCTAAGATGCAGGCATTTTCTTCGTTAAGGTTGACCTCTGTCATAGAAGTCACATCACTGATGTCATCCTCATCTCTGAATCATGTTGTTCCATTCTCTTTTATTTCATTTTTCTGAGTAGGAGATGCTTGAAGTGACAGAATTTTGTTTCCAGGCAGAGTAATTTGCTTTAGAGTGGACGCTGGAGGAAACTGGCTGGTAGGTATTACTGTGTTCCCTGGCATCATCTTCTGTCCAGATTTCTGAATGGTCAATGCAGAGGAATGTGAGTTTGGTCACCTGTTATTCATTGCCTCCTAAAGGCTGCTGAACTACTGGTTGCTTGACTTTAACTTCCTGTGGAATCCCAGCTGTTGTGAAAGGACAGGGTCCAGCTGGGCAAGTTTGATTTGAATTGGAGTGCCAGTAACAGGCTGGTCAGATGTGGTCCCAGCAGAAGTAACAACAGTTTTCACAGATGGAAGACAAATGGCTGCACCTGAAGTTTCTCAAAAGTTACTGCTGAAAGGGAGTGTTACCGCTGTTCCAGAGACAACTGGCTTTTCAGGTTGCAGTGAGACTGTTGTCACTGTGTTTGGTACAGATGTCACAAGTGGTTTTGAAGTCTGAAGCAAAACAGTTCCAGCTATTGTTCCTCCTGTTGCAGCAGCTGGGCCCACAGAATGAAGTGTCACAACTCAAGCTTTTGCTCTCCCTGGACCACCAAGTGGGTTCAGAGTTTGCACTGACACAGTTCTGGGTGCTGTTGCTCCAAAAACAATAATGGACTTTTCAGACTGGCTTGAGGACACTGTTGTCACCACAGGAGAAGTTGTTACTGTTGTAGTACAGGTAGCAGTGACTCCCTCACTAGAAGTCTGCTGAACACATTGCTGGATGAAGCTCTGGGAGCTAGGCAGAAGTTGTCTAAGCAACCACACTCTTCTTAAGAAAAGGAACCAGGTGAGGCTGAGGTGAAGACTTGAGTTCAACATACAGTTTCCTAGGAAATTCTGCTTCGATTTTTGCATCCAAAAGTTGTTCCACCAGTTTCTTCATATTTTGCCGCATTTCTGGGGACTGTGATCCACCACATGCTAGTTTTATGAACATTGCAAGGAAGTTCTTGCATTTCTTCACGTTTTCTAGCATTGTCAGAGAAAGATTAATCTGAACAGCTGCTGAGTTCTCTGCTTTAAAATTGGGCTCATTTGAGGGGGTGGATGATGCTCCCAAACTTCAGGGTAGCTACAGTAATCAGTGGCTTTTCAGGAGTTACTGTGACAACACTGGTAGGCACAGCCACAGAGGGCACTATACAGATTGTGACTGTTTGAGGACTGGCTGGTACTGCTGGCCTTGAAGTTATGTTACTTGTGGTCTCGGCTCTTGCTTGCTCAGGATATACCAACATCAACTGACTACTGTTACTTTTGATCAAAACGGTTCCTGGAGGAAGCTGCAAATTAGCAGGAAACTGGATTGTCGTGGTGTTGGGGGCTTTCACAGCGACCATCTGAGGAGCAGGCAGCCTAGGGCAGCTGCTGAGTTTAGGAGAGGCGCTGACAGGAGCCACTTTGGTCACCAGGGTCCCCACGGGGGACCGCAGGGGCTGGGACGCCATGGGCTCCATGCAGACGCTGACAGGAACCTTAGTCATGGCACCCAGGGCCACCGGAGGGCTCTCTACCCGCACTGGCCGCCCCCCGGCCAGGGCCATAGTCACGGTCTCGGAGGTGCTCACAGCAGCCGGGAGAGCAGCGCCCCCTAGAGGCTCAGCGGCGGCTATGGCGCTGCCGTTCCGAGAGCTGCGGTGAGGGAAGGCTGGGTGCACAGCCGACTCCGGTGCGGTTCCGGGAGAGCCGCGGGGGTCGCAGCAGTGAAGTCAGTGAGGGGCTCCGGCTGCACTGCAGGACACGCGCCTCCTGAACCTTCTCCTGCGCGCGAGCCTGGGCTGCCCCCGGAGCAACACCCGCCAGGCTTCTCGCAGCTTCCTCAGAGGTGCTCACAAGTGCGCAGCCTCCTCCCGGCGCCTCAGGCTCGGTCCCGCTGCGGGTTGTGACCTCTGCTTCAATGTGAGCACCCACGATTAGGTCAACATGGGTGACGGCTTCAGAGCAGCCAACTGGTGCCTAGCAAAACCAAAACCAGAAAGAGTCTCCAGATCTCTAGAAACCGATTAAACAAAAATATTTATAGAACACCTAGTACATGAAGGGCATTTTGTAGGTAGTTTGGTTCCTCTCCTGAAGGAGATAGCTTTTGGGGGAGTTGGAGATACGTGCACGCATGGGAGATGATGTCTCACTGCAGGGCGGTGCATCATCCGTGCTGAAGGAGTGCCAGTGTTGCAGAAATGGACACAGAGCAGGTCAGTTGATGGACGAGGAAGAGGAGCACTCTCTATGTGCCAGCACTGTTCTAAGTGCCCTGGGCCTTCTGGGAACGACATGAACGTTTTACTTTTGTACATGGGACACTGAGGATGTGCTAGGCAGAGATGAACCCTTTCATGAAAGGAGTTAATCTAGAAATCACGATCTGTCTCATTTGGGAGGAGCTAAATAAATCTCTTTTCAATGAAGCAAAGGTCAATAAGAAAATGTGTATTTTACCTATAAAATTACGAATCAGAATTTACCATGAGGCATAATCTTAGTCAAGTGCCCAAATGAATGATTTCAGACCACAAATACTGAAACACCGAAGTGATAAGGTGGCAGATATTTCAGTTAGCTACTGCTGCATAACAAATGACCCCAAAGCTTTGGGACTTAAAACAATGATTTGTTATTGCTTATCATTCTGTCAGCTGGGAGGTTCTTCTGCTGGCCTCACCTGGGCTCATGCACACGGCTACATTTAGCTAGGATGTCAGCTGGGTGATAGGCATAGCTGGGATGCTGGATCACCTGAGTCTTTCTCTCCATGCGATATTGTTTTAAAATATAGATTTTAGCGCTGCCTCAGGATGTAAAGTGTAACAAGGAGGCAGGGTGGGCAGCATGGGCCTGTGGGGCTTATGAGTACCCCTAGCTCCCCCAGCAGGGGTCTCCGCACTTGTCGGCTCCGGTTGCCACGTGAAGATTTGGGTTCCAAATGGAAGGCTGTGTGTTCTCTTGCTGCTTATTGTTGCCCCGGTTACTGTGGCAACTGCCAGAGCAGACTTAGCGCTGTGCAGGAGCCCGGGTCTACCTCTCAGCCCTACTTGGGGTTGGTCCTGGTGGAGCTACGCAGGGTTGTGGCAGCACTGCCTCAAAATATGACAGCACATTCTAATTCTTATGGGTTTCCATGGGAATTCGTGATAGGGCGGCTATTGTTGGATTTTTCGCTGTTCCCATTTTTTTGTGGAGAAGTTTGAGATCGGTTAGGAGTCGGCTTTATGTGAGAAGAGAGAAAAAGCTTGCCGGTGTGCTCTCTGGACTAATTGACGAAAAATGTAAACTACCTGAAATATTTACCCTTATTAAAAAAAGAGCATGAAGGCTGTGAAGTAGAGTCATCTTTAAAGGAGGCCAGCTTTGAGGAGGAGGCAACAGAGGCACGAAGTTTGGAGGCAACATGTGAAAAGCTGAACAGGTCCAATGATGAACTTGAGGATGAAATACTTGGTCTCGAAAAAGAGTTAAAAGAACAGAAATCAAAACATTCTGAACAAAATCAACTGATGGCTGTTATTTCAAAAACGATACAGTCTCTAGGAGATGAGTCAAAATCTCTCAAATTACAAGTAGCTGAAGCCAAAATCATCTTCAAGATATCTCAAATGAATGAAGAACAACTGAAGATAGCAATAAAAGGTGCCTTGAATGAAAATTCTCATCTTCAGAAAAGCCAGAAACAGCTTTTGCAAGAAGCTGAAGTATGGAAAGAACAAGTGAGCGAACTCAATAAACAGAAAATAACATTGGAAGACTCCAGAGTACACACAGAGCAAGTTCTAAACGATAAAGACAATCACATCGAGACTCTGACTGAACGCTTGCTGAAGATGAAAGACTGGGCTGCTATGCTTGGAGAAGACATAATGGAAGATGAGAACTTGAAATTAGCAATGAACAGTGAATCAGAAGAATGTGCTTACTTAGATCATCCTCCAAAATGAGCTGTGAAGAAACTGATTCATGCTGCCAAGTTAAATGCTTCTTTAAAAATCTTGGATGGGCAAAGGAAATAAATTGATTTTCAGTTATCTGAAGTCGAAAAAACAAAAGAGTTTGCACAGTGCATTAAAAATCTTCAGACTCAACAATCATCTTTGCAGTCTGAAAGCACGCATTTAGAAAGAGAATCAGAAGCTTCAACAGAAACTTAATGACTCAATTCTATCAAGAAAATGAAATGAGACTCTATAGGAAATTAACATTACAGGAAAATAGCCAGTTAGAGAAAGAAGAGAAACTTTCTAAAGTAGACAAAAAGATCGTCCATGCCACCGAGAAGCTGGAGACCTATAGAAAGCGAGCCAAAGATCTTGAAGAAGAATTGAAGAGAACTATTCATTACTTTCAATGGCGGACTATTTCTTATGAGAAAAAAGCACATCGTAATTGGTTGGCAGCTCGGACTGCTAAAGGAAACCTCAATGATTTAAGGAAAGAAAATGCTCACAGCAGACAAAAATTAACCGAAATACAGTTTAAACTGTTAGGAAAAGATCCTGATGCACTTTATGTTCCAAATACGGCATTTGGCAGAGAACATTCTCCATATGATCCCTCACCAATGGGTGGATCTTCATCTGAAACGAGAGCTTTTCTCTGTCCTCCAACTTTGTTGGAGGGTCCACTCAGACTCTCACCTTTGCTTCCCGAGGGGAAAGGAAGAGGCTCAAGAGGCCCAGGAAATCCTCTGCATCATCAGATTACCAACGAAAGAGGAGAATCAACCTGTGGTAGGTTACCGGATCCTCACAAGGCTCCTTCTGACACTGGGTTCCTGTCACCTGGGTGGGAACAGGACCGTAGTATGATGATTCCTCCACCAGGACACCAGGTCTACTGTGGTTGTAGACAAATGGGAAAGTAAATTTATGCTTAAATAAATTTTAGTTGGTTTAAAAAATATATACATATATATTTTATTATTCTTCAGGTGCAGAGAGACCAACAGATCAAGTGTCTATTGCCACTAAAAAGACAGGTTGTGACTGACAGATCCCATGAGAAGGGAAAGTACTATGCCATGCAGGAGCACATGAGGAGGCACTGTGGTCACTGAGAAGGCAGGAGTGATGGGAAAACATGGGCAAGAGCCTTTATTGTGTTTTCCATGGGAAGGAATGAGTGAGGCAAGGTGAACTGGGTTACGGTTTAGGTACTACAGTATGAGTAATTTCAGCAGGCTCTGGGCTTAGGGGCTGTCCCTAGTTATCTGGTACCTGGCCCTGGGGTGATTAGGGCAGAGGAATATTGGCCTAGAGTGTGTGAGTCCTATGGAAGGCTGATGAAGTGGGTAGCTGTGGGCATGAGCTCTGGACTGGTTAGTTTGTGTGTGAAATGCATGCTCATGGGCAACTTGTTTCCTGTCTCTAGGAACTGGCTAACCCTGAGAGGGATGGGCTTGCCAAAGTCAGCAAGGCCCTAGATGTCGAAGCATCAGAATACATAAAAAGACATGGTTAATATGGTATCAGAGACTCTGTCTTCATGTGGCCTTTCATGAAGCGCTCTAGAGGGAGCTCCCTTGGTGGATGTCAAGGACTGTTCAAGACAGCAGAAGCCACAAGGTCACATACAGCCTCAGCTTGGAAGATATACAACATTACTTCTGCTGATCCCATGGGTCAAAGCAAGTCACAGATGCACCCCAGATCCCTGCTCACGCTGAGAGGAGAGGAACATTAACCATGTGGCAGGGGAAGGTCATCACCCTTGTTTTTGCCAACAACCTGCCACAGAAGATGTGGCTTCGGAGTGCTGCCAAGGCCTTTCTGAATGGACCAGATCCAATAGGAAGAGCAGAAAGAAGCTGAGTTCCAGCTCATTTGTCTTTGCTAGTGTGGAGTCAGGGTATAGCTTCCCTCCCACTGTTGGTCCCCACATTGAGGGTCAGTTGGGTGTTTGCCCAGGAGCCTGCAGGGACTTTTTGTGCCTTTAGAGGAGGGTTGGCACGGCTTTGGGTTGCTGTCTTTGAAACCGCCCCAGGGCCTGGCATCCTGGGAGAGTGCCGGCCTGCTCTGGCAGGGAGCCCAGGCCTGTTTGCAAACTGAATGCCTTAGGGTCAGGCTCTCTCATAGACATATTATTTTCTTATCAGGAGTTAAAATAACCCTAGAACTTCTCCCATTGAAATGCAGAAGCTTTATTACAATGAAAGTACCACTTGTAAAGCATATGGAATTAGGCCAGTAACAACGAGCATTTACTCCACACTTTAGGGCCCATGAAGCACTTTCTCCTGTGCTCTTCCTTGTTCTCACTGTCACCTGTGGTTAGGCCTCATTATCCTACTTTTTCATATCAGAACACTGAAGCTCTAGGGGCTCCCTGCTCCCTGTCTTGCTGGGGGCTCCAAATTGGCTTAGGGCCCTAGGAGTTACCCTGGGCCCAAGGGTGAAGCTATGGGAGCCCTACAAAGCCTCCCCCGTTTCGTGCCAGCACCTCAGTGAATTCCTTCTCTCCCCCATACCTGCTCATTCTGTGTGGCTGCACTCATTAGATTATTTCACCCTTTGAATTAGAGGCCTCAGTCCCCTTTGTGGGCCCTGTTAATCTCTGCAGGGGGTACTGACACCCCAGGTACAGCCCAGTCCTGCATGCTGCTCTTTGCTCCAGGACCCCACCTGGTCCACCATTTGCTGGGAGATTTCAGTCCCTACAGAACACAAGCCTGTGAGGAGCCACACTGGCTCCAGAGCCCGAGCCCCAGTCACTGCTGGGTGCAGTGCACATTCCTCTGCTGTGCAGTGGTGGAGCTTCATTCTGGTGGTCCTTTGTTCTGGATCTAGGTGTCTCAGTGAGACGCCAGCCTGGCTGCTTCAGAGCCCCAGGTGAAGCCGTCATTCTGAATCCGATTGAGGAAGAAAAGGCAGCATCTCAGCTGAGTTGCTGTCCAACATAAAACCACGGGGCATTGTGCTCAGACACACGCTGACACTGACCGAGGCTAATGAGGCAGGGCCTCTCATAATAGCATTCTGTTTCTTTGGAAACCAAGGTGTAGTTTTTAAAATGTCCCATGGTCCTCAACCACATTTTGCATTTCCTAGAACTTATTCTACCATTTTTACAGGGACCTGTGGCAGGCAGAGCAGCTCCGGCCAGCTTCCCCGCAGGATTCCACTTCCTGTTTGGGTCGCTAGGGGCAGCTTCCCCGCAGGATTCCACTTCCTGTTTGGGTCGCTAGGGGCAGCTTCCCTGCAGGATTCCACTTCCTGTTTGGGTCGACCTTGCTACTACAAGGGACGGCTTGCCCCTTGCCTTTCTGCTCCCTGGGTGTTTCCTTTGT